CAATATATGGACTGTACTTATATATATTTCTCTTATTGAGATACTTAAAGCTCTTTACACTAGAATCTGTATCCTCATTTACCTGTACATACAGCACTCTATTAGATCTGTATACAAAGAATAATCAGAGCTTTAGTACATTCATACACTGATGGGACACACATAGGAGGCAATGAAGGGTTCAGTGTCTTGCTCAGGGACACTTCAGCATGTGACTGCTGGTGGAATCGAACCGAACCCCAACACTTGCATTGGAGAATGACTGCTCTAACCACTCAGCCACAGCCACCCCAATACAGAACTGGGGTTGTATCAGTCTTCCGTCGCATTTCCTGTTTTTATGTCCTTTTTTGTTGTTATATACCTGGATGACTGAGAAAACAAACTTTGTGTTCCTGTTTTTATCTTTTCTGCCGAAACAAACAAACAAAAAAAAAGTCAAGATTTATCATCAAAACTGATATTGGGCAACAAGGAAACATGAAGAAAAACAGAAAGTGGTTGAGACAAAGAGACAGAAACGTAGCGATTAAAATCAACACAGGCTGGAAAAAAAGACATGGAGAAAACCAGACAGATCTGTAGAAAGTGAGAGCTCAGACAGAAAGAGGGAAGGAAAAGAGGAGGAGGCTGACCAGCGGGAGAAATGGATGGGAAACAAGAGCAGCGGCGACCATGATGGAAACCAGATGTAGCAGGAGAACAGAGAAAGAGAGGAAGAGCCGTGGAGCTGAGAGGACTTTGGAGAATGTGGAGCTGATAGAGGAAGACATGATTAGGAGAAAAATTAGACAGATTCTGAGAGAGGGAGACGGGTTCGAAGGAGGAGGTTAAAGAGCACTGAAACAAAAGGGAAGGATGTGAGGATGAAGGGAAAGAAACGAGTGAGGCCTGAGACTGATTTCCTTTCTGGAATCAACCTGTGTAATCGAACCCAACCTTCAGTGGGTCTCACTGGATTTTTGACAGATTGTTTTCGTTTGCTAAACGCTACAGTGTGTTGAGTCTGATCCAGCACAGATCCTCACGTTGACCTCATTTCTGTGTGCAACATATAAAATAAAACGAGACGACCGTAGCTTCTTTCATTTAAGCTTTTCTTTGGGTGTGCGATGATTAGCTTCAAAGCATGTCCACTTCACCACAGACTAGCAGCTTTTCACGTGTCACTTCCTGTTGTGTGTTTGGTGTCATTTCACAAACCCAAAGAAGTGTCTGTGCCTCACTGAGCCGAGAGGTCACATTTCATGAACTGTGACCCAGACTGAGCAGCCGATCTCTGTGGACCATGGCTTCAAATAAAATACAGGCGGAAACCTAAGAACAAGACATCTTTGGATTTCTCTTTGTAGAACGAAAACTGGGTTCACATCAAGAATGGGCAGAAAAATCAAAATCAAAGAACAAACAAACAACAAATACTAAAGCATGCAATAAGGGTACAAAAATAAAGTACCAAAAAGTGAAAAAGTAATTATAATATTTACAACGTCCTAAAGAGAAAATAGTAATCGACAACAGGGTCGAATTTTAACAGTGCAAGTAGGATGAATTTGTATGAACAAGTATTTCAAGAGAATAATATAAGCTAAAATGCACGTGATATTTATTGCACATAACTAACATAAACTGTAAATGTAACAAAATAAATCAAACACCTTAATAAAAGTGTCTTCATTTGAAAGAATTAGACCAAAGTGTCACATCGGTCAATGCTCAGTCTTGCTCCACCTGTTCTCTCCACATGTCGGTCTCGATTTGTGGAAGATATGGACCTAGATGAGCAGATTAAAGATGAGGAGCTCGAGTAAAACCTTAAAACTTATTGAACAAAAACAAAAAGGCTGACGAGGCAGCGAAAAGACCTTACAAACACCAGTTGAGGAGAATAAGATGGTGTAGGGGCAGGGCAGCCGACTCGGGACCTGAAGGTCCTGGGTTCGATCCCCGGTCATTGCACATCTTGTGGTGTCTCTGAGCAAGACACCTAATCCTTAATTGCTCCCCGGGTGCTTACATAGCTGTCCACTGCTCCACCTGGGTGTATCGCAGGTGTGACGGGTTAAATGCAAAGAGGTAATTTCATCTTTGTATGGGAACATACAATGATGACAACACATAGCACTTTACTATTATTTATTACAGAGGAGCTCGACTGAGGATGAACAACCATAAGGAATGGGCCTGATGGAAAGAGTAGAAACAACTGGGGACAGGTGAGAGTGTGTGGGGCAGGAGCTGAGAAACTGATGGAAGATAATGGACAGGTGGCACTGGGAAAATACATGAGGCAATGAAACAAGCTGGGCTAATAAAATACAGAAAGTAAAGTAAAGTTCTATGTGTTGCCATCCTGTTTCTATACAATGGTGAAATTAGTTCTCTGCATTTAACCCATCACGCGTGAGATATACTCGGAGCAGTGGGCAGCTGTGTAAGCATTCAGCGAGCAGTTAGGGATTAGGTCTCATTGCTCAAGGACACCACGTTATGTGGTGGCAGGGAGTTGAACCCGCAACCGACTCTCTGCTCACAAGTCGGCTGCCCTGCCTCTAAGTAAACACGTTAATAAAAATGATCACAAACTTCAACCACTCAAACGAGTCTAAACACAGATCATGACACTTATACAGTGTTATTTTCATCCATTCATTATCTTTACCCGCTACTTCCTTTCCGGGTTGTTCGGATCGCTGGTGTCCATGTCCAACAGTTCCTGCGGTCCATCACAGGGACACATAGAGACAAACAAACATTCACTCTCTCACTCTCACCTATGGACAATTTAGAGTTACCAATCAGTCTAACATGCATGTTTTTAATCTGTGGGAGGAAACTGGAGTACCCAGGGATAATCCACACATGCACAGAGAGAACATGCAAACTCCATCCAGAAAGACTGCGCTACATATTGTCACTTTTACAGATAGATGTGATCCTGGGTGAAAGGATTGAGTTTTAGATCGTCTGGCTGGTTTAAGGGTTGGTTTGACTCTTTCTACATTCCCTGTCTGATTATTTCTTCAAGCAGCCTCAACTTTCTCACATTACCAACAAATTTTTGATCTCCAGGTGAATAATTTTCTTGTCTTTTGTTGTTTGATATGATGTGCTTTAGCAACTCCAGGGGTATTTCCCTGCATTTTTAGCTCCTGCATCTACTTAATGGCTATTTTTGTCTGTTTGATTTGAGCAGATAAGTCATCAGAGGCATGATTGGGGCTTAAAACACAGGCCTTAAAATAATAACCAGAATCCAACATTGGTAAAATAATTGACACAAAGGATATGTGAAGCTTGTGAAATGTCTTTCATGTGCATAAAACATTAAGACCAGTAAGACTGATGAAACTAAAAGAGTAAAATGCTTAAAGACCAAAAGAACATGGCAGTGAAACAACTCACTGAACTGAAACGTAGCCGTCCTTGGTCTGCATGCTGTACTCCAGACAATTACAGGAAACTCTCGATTCCTGTGATTGACAAGGTGTTTCTGATCCCATCTGCTTCGTTATCTTCACCTCTGGGGGCAAAGCTGCTTTCTTTAACTTTCATTACTTCAAATAGGTTTCCTGACTGAAGCTGATGAGTGGCACATGGCCGCTGGTTTCTAAATCTTTCCAGACAGAGGGAATGGAAATACCCTCTGCCACATTTTCTTGGCCAGTGGCTCTGTGGGTGTAGGGCTGTGTGTGCATGTGTGTGTGGACAACAGCTTGCCAGTGCATTTTAACACCTATGTGCAGAGCGGTCGTCTTCGCCTCTGGGTGAGCTTTTACGTGCACATTCACTGGTCCTGTGTGGAGGTTTTCCGTTCCATGGACATGTTGTCAGACGGGTTGTTGTGGGTCGAGGTGTAAGTAGGTAAAGTGCAGTGTGTTGTCATCATTGTATGTTCCCATACAATGGCGAAAGTAGTTCCCTGCATTCAACCCATCGCACCTGAGATACACCCAGGTGGAGCAGTGGGCAGCTATGTAAGCGCCCAGGGAGCAATCAGGGATTGGGTGTCTTGCTCAGAGACACCACGATATGTGGGAATGGCTGAGGAACGAACCTGGGACTTTGAGGTCCCAGGTCGGCTGCCATGCTCTTGTGGGTTCGAGTTTCAAACCGTTTGTAATTTGTTGCGCTCTTGGCTGCACATCTGTTGCTCTTTTTCAATCTAAACGTTTTAAACTGGGCAGTGAATAAAAGAAACTGCAGATGTTCTTCCTACTCCTCAGACCATGCCATCCCTTGTTCCTACCCCACACCCCCAGTCTTTTTTTTTCTCTCCCCCCCCCCCCCCCCTTTTCTCCAATGTGGAAAAAAATGGGATCACCAAAACTATCGTTAAAGCCGTCCAAAACTCCTAAAATAAAAAGTAGCCCTACCCTTCGATTTTCTTCTTCTTCTTCCCTCTCCAACTCTCCCTTTGTGTTAGATTGTTCTCTTCCTCTTGTTGCCATGCTGCTCCACTCTGCACAAAAACACAGGAGCTGGAATCTGATCCTATTCACTGCGCTGTCACTTTTTCTTGGATAAATTTCTGCTCATGTGTTTGCCATCGCCTTTCTGCCTCTGGGCTGAACTGATCGGACCAGAAGTGGGTGGGGAATGCCGGGGCGATCCCAGGAGATGCAACCAAGGACTCGTTTTTTTTTTTTTTTGCTTCCATCTGAAAATCAGCCACAAAAGTCACCAATGTCACACGACTGAAATCACGTCATTTAGAGCCTATTAGAGCCAAAGCTGCATGCTGGGAGTTATAACTTCTGGGTGCGCTCCTAAAAAGATGCAGCTTTGTGATGTATAGTTGAAAAGACACAAACATGAACAGGGATGAGTTTAGAAGAACATTTCTTTACATTAAGAGATGAAGATTACAGAAATACCAGGTGAAAAACTGAAAATAGATTGATGTCACAAATGAGCTCTGTGTTTATCTTCAAAAAGAAAAGTCATTTGTTCGTCACCATGTCCCACACAAAGAATCACATTAAAGCCGGGGGACTTACCATGACTTCAGTCAGGAATTCCTACATGGTCCTCAGCTCCTTTCCTGGCTCCGCTTCCTCTCCACATTCTCTGCAACAACTTACTCCTCTCACTTCAAACCAGCCATCTGTGAGCTCCTTCATCTGATGCTTCTGCCTTTCTGTGAAAGTTCTTCAGCCCCATACAGTTAAAGGAACCACAAGAAACCGTGCTCTCGTCTCCTCCTCACTCTCGGCTGTATTCCCCAGCCTGGGAATGTCCAAGCTGCAGCTTTTTCCTCCTCCTCCTTCTCTCAGTCCCACACCCCCTCGCCTCCTCCCCTCTCACCTAACAGAACCACTACAGTCCTGCTCCACTCTCAAACTTTCCATCTTCTTTCCTCCTTCTTGACGTACTTCACTGAATAGACAATAAAACCAGCTCCCCCACCCAGCCTGCAGAGAGACCGCTCATGTTTTTTTGTGAGGCGACTCCTTATTCTTCATTTTCATTAGGAAACAATTAGTTTAAATGGACTTAAACTGAAATTTTATATAAAAAGACATTAAACGTCCTATAATAAGCTCAGAATGTAAACAGCTAAAATGTATAGGTGGGTTTTGAAAATATCTGTTATTTTACACTAGAATTAACACTACTGCTGCCCTTAGCTCAGTATGCAGTAAAGTCTATTAACCCTCCTGCTGCCCATAGATCAGTATGTAGTAAGGCCTGTTAACCCTCCTGCTGCCCTTAGATCAGTATGCAGTAAGGCCCGTTAACCCTCGTGCTGCCCTTAGATCAGTATGTAGTAAGGCTTGTTAACCCTCCTGCTGCCCTTAGATCAGTATGTAGTAAGGCCCGTTAACACTCCTGCTACCCTTAGATAAGAAAAAAGTAAGGCCCGTTAACCCTCCAGCTGCCCTTAGATCAGTATGCAGTAAAGCCTCTTAACCCTCCTGCTGAACTTAGATCAGTATGCAAGGCCCGTTATCCCTCCTACTGCTCTTAGATCAGTATGCAGTAAAGCCTATTAACCCTCCTGCTGCCCTTAGATCAGTATGCAGTAAAGCCTATTAACCCTCCTGCTGCCCTTAGATCAGTATGTAGTAAGGCTCGTTAACACTCCTGCTGCCCTTAGATCAGTATGCAGTAAGGCCCGTTAACCCTCCTGCTGCCCTTAGATCAGTATGCAGTAACGCCCGTTAAACCTCCTGCTGCTCTTAGATCAGTATGCAGTAAGGCCCGTTAACCCTCCTGCTGCCCTTA